TTAGATCCCTGGTACCAAAAAAAAAAGTATACTTTCACACTTCATTCAGAGATGAACAACATACGTGATAGTCTATGTAACATATTTCCAAGGTTTGAAGAAGGTTATGCTATTAGGTTTGTGTATGTACACTCTTGATGTTCATAAAATGATAATTACCTAATGACACCTTTCTCAGACAGTGTCCCCATGCATAAGTGATGCATGGCTGCCCTTGAATTAAGAGAAAGCACCATACAGTATGGCCTTAAAGATGAATAGAAACTAAAATCGTCAAAGCACAGGCACTTGAAAATATCTTCTAAATACCTATCAAAAATCAAAGAAGGCAGACTGAAAAAGCAAAGGCATTCTCTCTCAGAAGTTTAAAAAGTAAGTAAGATTAAAGAATATTGTTGAGTTTCACAGATTTGTACTTAAAACCATAGGGACTTGTTGCAGAGCAGATCCAAGCATTTCATAAACTAGGTAAGAGTAGTATATACATCCAATGACTTTAGTTGTTTGCTACCTCCTCTAAGGGCTCTGTGGAAAGTAATGATCATTTAGTGTTGTAAAGAAAAAAAGTCAAAAAGCATTTTCATCTTCCCTTGCTTATCCTTTGGAGAAATTAAAGTATTTTAATATTTTAAAGTGCTCTGTCTATATCCATTAAAAAATATACTGAGGTTCCCTGTCTAGTGTGCATAATATCTATGGCCACTTAATCATTTTTAACTATTTCATGTTGTTACTAACAGTTATTGTAGCTTTGCTCTTAAGACTTGGTTTTTAAAATGATAACCAAGAATGCAGTCCAGAGTTATAATACTGTCCCTGTGAAGAAAGTGAAGCTTCCTTTAGAAATCAGTAGGCCAGGAAAGAAAACAGAATTAAAGCTTCCATCTTTGCCAGTTACGGGAAAGAGGCACAACACAGAAAAGCCTCCCATGGGGCTTTTAAAAAAATTAGAACTTGGGAGGTGAACGAGAAAATAAAGTGGGAAAAAAATTAAAGCATGGTGCAAAGGCAGGAGGGAGATGAATTCAGGAATGCTTACTATGAAAGCCAGTGGGAGGCAGTGTTAGCCAGAGGGATCAGCAGATGTGGTTTTGACTGTGACCAGGGTCAGCTTCCTGTGCAGTTGTACAGGGCCCCGTGCCTCGGTGAACCTGCTCTCTCAGAAGGGTTCTTTAGCTAGTTTAATGCTCTTGACTTGCCATCTGGATATTCTTTACATTTTTTAGCAAGGGGTCCAGCGTGTCCATTTTACACTAGACCCTCTAAATTATGTGGCTGAACCTGGCTCTGGTATGAAATCTGCACAGGTCCTGCACAAGCTTCTTTACTGTGCTTGTGTTCTCATATCTGAAGTGAGGATCACAAAATTACCTTTGTAGTGGGATGACATTGAGAATTAAAGGGAAAAAACTGAATTAGTTATGATTTGTGGCTGTCTTTGTAGCAGTTTTCATTTCTTATAGAGTATCCCAGTAGTCTTCAGACTCTTTGATCTCACAAGAGATTAATGATTAAGCTTTTATTTACTTGGGCTAAATACATCAATATTTACTGTATTAGAAATTAAAACCATGAAAATGTCAAAGTACAAGGACCCACAAGCACACTTTCTCCCTTTTCTGAGAAAGGCAAGAGGCCATTTTATCGCATGTCCAGTAGCTCTGGAACACTCTCCAGTTAGGCCAGAATGAAAGTGAACTTGGCAGAGGACATCTTTCTACTATTACAGAAACAATTTTGACTTCCCAGATGTCTTGGAAAGGCCTTGAGGATACTACCTTTTCTTTCCTAAAGGTCCTCAGATCACACTTTGAGAGCTCTTAAATGGAAATAATCTACTATGATGTTCAATTGGGTGACAGATGTATCTCCAGAGTGAGTAACTATTTACAC